CCGCCCTCGGCCCGCCGGCTGGGCGTGCTGCCCTTCGGGGGGGCCTGGACTGGCTGGAGAAAGGCGCAGGGGAACCCCAAGAAGTTTAACAAAGGGAGGTGCGAAGTCCTGCCCCTGAGAGGGAGTAACCCCAGGTGCCACACACCGGGGAGAGCAGCTGAGCAGAGCTGAGGGGACCTTGGGGTCCTGCGGGCAACAAGCCGAGCGTGGGCCGTGGATGAGCCTTGGCAGCAAAAGAGGTCACCCGCGTGCCGGGCTGCGTGAGGAAGAGCGTTGCTGTTAGGTTGAGGGAGGTGATCCATCCCCTCAGCACTGGGAAGGCCGTATCGGGGCGATCTGTGGGCTCCCCAGCACCAGGAAGAGATGGATTTAGGGAAGCAGGTCCACAAAGTGAAGGGCCACAAAGATGATTGAGAGATTGGAGCATGCGACATGCAAGGGGAGGCTGAGAGAGCTGGGACTGTGAGGAAGAGGAGTCTCAGGAGGATCTTTTCAATGTATGTAAATACCTGATAGGGGGGTGTAAAGAAGATGGAGCCAGGCTCTTCTTGTTAGTGCCTGCTGACAGTACAAGAGGCGATGGGCACAAGCTGAAATATGAGAAAGTCAACTTAAACATGAGAGAAACCTTTTCTACTGCGGGAGTGATCCGGTTCTGGAAGAAGCAGGCAGGTTGTGGGGTCTCCAACCCGACTGAACGGAGGACCTGAGCAGCCCGCTGTAAGTGACCCTGTGGTAAGCAGGGTGTTGGACTAGAAGGTCTCCAGAGGTCCCGCCCAGCCTCCGCTCTGCTCTGACTCTGTGATCGTTCCCTCGGGCTTTGGGCAGCTGTATACCTTCCCATTTGCTTATCCCAGAGGGGAGCTTGGTGGGTCTGAGTTTGGTAATTTTTTTTAAATGGGTCACTGTGTGTTGTGGTATGCTGTGGTTTGCAAAGCTAGTCCAGAGTCAAGATTAGTTTAGCAAACAGCTTCTTAATCATTTGAATATTACAGTAATATGTGTGTATATACAATATATATAGTAATATATTGACAGTTGTGCATTAAAAAAAAAGCATAGAAAATGCTGTGAAAGAAAATCAGTGGGTGATGAGAAACAATATCTGTTAACTTTGTTGATTTGTCAAGATCCAGATATTCATGTCCCTGGTTCTTAACTTCCCCATCTGTCCTGGGGAGTGAATAGTTATCGGAATAATTGCTAATCACTTTTAAAATTGGATCAATTTGCTGTAAAGCTTGCTTGGCAGCTTTGAATAGGGACTAACTGTTTTTAAACAGTGGAAAAAGTGGGAAAAGCCCAAACAAGCAAATCCTACAAAACCGGGGAATCCTGCTCTTTGCTCTCAGACTTTCCCAGTTGAATCTGCAGCTGGAGGTGATACAGCCAGTTATTGGGATGAGTTTTTGCTTCTAGTTCACCTGTATGATTCAACATTTTCAGTTGTCAGTAGTCTTACGGTAATCCGCAGCAGGAATAAATCAAGTTTCAGTTACTGAGGTAAATTCAGATCTGAAGTGAATGGCACATCTCATGAGCGGGCAAGGTTGAATGTTTATACAGTTGATGTTAGTCAAGGGAAGTTCTGTTACATGTCTGACTAGTTGGCTTAAAATCCATGGACATACTTCTGAGAAAGGTATTGAAGATATATCTGAACTGTTGCAGAAAAAGAAGAAAATTCCCAAGATCTTGCTGTATATTTTTCCTATGTGCTTTTTTCTTCCTTTATCTTCTTTAAAAAAATCAAATACTTATTCACATTAGGGTTGTTTTTTTTGGTTTTTTTTTAACCAGCAGGAGACACATTTAGGGTTGGTGGTTTTTTTTTTTTTTTTTAAACCAGCGGGAGACACACATTTCATTTGAAAGAATTTCTGCGTGTTTACTGTTAGTTAATATTTTGATTATTTTCATACAAAAGTTAGTCTTTTGATATATGCTGCTAGCCGTGATTCTTCCTTGTAAGGAACATATTTATTTTGGTTGTGTTGTGATACATTAGGCAGAACTGTGTTCTTCCAGTTAATCTTAACTTATGTCATTTAGGCACGGAAGGTCCTGGCGTCAGTGTCTCAGAGGAGAGACAGAGTCCTGCTGAGAGCAGTGGCATAACGGTCATCTATAATCCTTATGCTTCCCTTTCTATTGAACAACAAAGACAAAAGCTGCCTGTTTTTAAGGTACAGAAGTTCCTTTTGGTATATTAAATCCATTGCATGATGTCTGGCTCTTATGTCTTTTTTTGAAAGAGCAGTGTAGAATCACTTTACAACATAAAACAATAATTTTATGACCTTGCTCTCTTTATTCGTTGGCATTGATTGTCCTGTTTGACAACTGTTACTGACAGTTTTACAGGCTTTGTAGATTTATGTTAATTACTATCTGTTGTGCATGTCATTTATAGATTTTAAAGAACTGCTTAGCTTTTGGCAGTAAACTCCATGTAAAATGAATTTACTGGTGTCTGTTAGACAATTAAATATTGTCATTTTAATTATTTTCTTACTTTTGTGTACATCTGGTTTTGATACTTAAATGTAATCTTTTTCAGCTAAGAAATCACATACTTTATCTAGTGGAGAACTATCAAACTCTGGTGATTGTTGGGGAAACAGGTTGTGGGAAATCAACGCAGATTCCGCAAGTAAGTGTCTGTTTAACTTGGTAAAATCAGGTATTCCTTCAGGGGATTTTACATGAAACGTTAAACCAGCAGCCCAGAACTGCACTGTGAGAATGGAATTCACGTGTGCTCCTGTGTGTGACCAAAA